ACGAAACTGTGCATACGAGTGTCTAATGTAGAGCGTGTATGCGTGAGCAAGTTTGGGGCTCATAAGAATATTCTGGACGGAGTCAATGGACTTCACGCAAATCTGTCTTGGCGCTAATGTTTATGCTTCATTTTGCAGGGCATGCTTTGTTCTATCAGGTGGTACCCCATGTACTTGATTTCGTGCTCAGTCGGCTGCGACATTGCATGACAGAACATAATGCGACATTATTTTCCGGACAACCTAATATTATTTGGGGGTAATTCCGAAAAACCACGTTTCGGGATATTCTTTCTTTTCCTTTACAAATAATCCTGTTTTCTTGTAATTTATTATATTTCCAATGTAACTTTCCTTGCTGCCTCCTAATCTTTCAACTTTCTTCCAGCCGTTGTTTCCTGTGCAACAGTTGCATATTTACTTTCGTAGTAGTAGCTTTTCTTCAAAGCTACTGATTCTCTATACTCAATGATTATCAACTTGTTTCTCGACTGTCTTTGCGAGTCCGGCTTGACTGCAGCTATCCAGTCCATGTGCAGGGCCAGCAGAGGTGGCGTTCTCACCTCTGAGTAACTTTCTTGAGAGAAGGCAAAAGGGAACCCTACAATTACAGGGATTACTTACAGGAAAACTGACAATTTATTAGTAAAATAAACTCTAACTAGTAGCAGTTCGCATTTGATTCTCCACCTTCATTCCGCTAACGCGAAAAATCAGCATGTTACACGGCTGGTGCATACACCTTCGTGTACGCGGCTAAATCTGCAGAAATTCTTTTTTTGAGATGATAAACAGTTTTTTTTGTTTGAAATGAGCCAGCAATATGGAGCCATCAGACTTGCGCTTAACGAGAATGAAAAAAAGAAAAACAAGAATTACAAAGAGGAGTTAATTTGTATGTAAATGTAGCCGAAATCAAGAAAACTTACAATTCTCTTTCTTCTTTGCATGAATATTTGATTTTTCAATGGAAATTCATTTTTTATCTCAGGATCCAACTAAAGGTATCAAATTGACCCAGCTTCGCTCCTTTTGCTACGGTCCCATAATGTGAAAGCCGCTTTTGGTTTTGCTGTTTTCTGATTCTCTGTCTTTTATTCACATACGCACAGCATTATTTTTGCTGCAGATAACTCTGTAGCGGCACTTCTGAAAACAAAAAAGCTACATGGTCTCAAAATCTCCAAACACTGCATTGAGCTCGGCCCCATATATCTGGGCTGAGCTTCAAGTAGGTAGTACTGACCCATCGAAGATTATCCACGATGAGCTTAGAGATTACCGCTTTGTTGCTTGAGCAAATCAAATTGTTTTGCTCAATATTATTATATTTATTCTCCAGGCTGACTAACATGGTTTTACAGTTCTTAAAGCAATCGTGCCCAAAGTGTGCTGCGCGTTGGTGGCTAGGCAATATGCATTGCTCTCGTGCCGTGCCAATTTTCGTTTCGCGAAATCTTCAATTATCAAACACCTATTTTTCAAGCTTCATCAGATAATGCACCTATTGCCACTATTTGAAGAGGCAAGTGTTTTTTGCAGATCGGAAGTTATGTGACTAGCTGGTTTCCTGTGTCTTCCTTCTTTATTGTTTAGCAGCATTACAAGAGCACTGTGTGAGCTAAATATAGAAATAAATAAATGGTGAATTCGTATGACATTTCTTCAGCTGCAGTCCTTCAACACATGTAGAAAATGACATGAAACCCGAGTAGTAACAAAGTGCATTGTTTGCCGCAACTGTGTACGATGTGCAATTACACATTCAATAGATTCAAACTGGCACTTTAGGGCTGACCACGTCTCCATCGGCATGGGCTAAGTTCCCTTCAGTTGCCGATTGCCGATGCCGATGTTGATTTTATTGACAAGAATATCAATAAAAGTTCATTAGTACATTTACAATGCGATGTACACGTTCAATTGATATGAAGGAATCAGCAACAAAATCATATTATTACAACTTATGTACAATGAGCATTCCAAATAATGGAAGTGTCGTAACGTAAGATTCGCCCGAATACTTCTTCATCATTAGCCACAGTCAAGGAAGATGAGTCGACATTTCTACCACTATTCAAGGACCTCATGACTACGCTATTGTGGCTAAAGACGGCGTTGATGAGTAAGGAGGAGGAGCCAACATTGAGAGCGGAGGAGCTGAAATATAAAGAGTATGTTACCTGAAGACTTGTCCGTATTATTTTCGAAAAAACGTCTGCAAGGAGAATTAAATTTGCATACCTTTCCACTCATCAACGTCTTCTTTCCGCTTGAAACAACTCTCATAGATCTGCTTTATACAATCAATTGCTGCTACTATGATAAATCCAATAACAATGAATACTAATAGTCCAGCCAGTACAAAAATTTGCACTTCATCACGTGACCAGTGAGCTGCAAAAGCAAAGATCTAACTTTCCCACAAAACTTCGTTTTTCTCAATTCTATAATATCGCTAATCTAAGAGATGAATTCTATATGGCTCACCATGCATACTAACATTCTCATTGGCAAACCTTATGGCGTCGTCGTCTTTCGTAAAGTTGTGGAACAACACGAATTGAATTGACATCTATACAGTAAAGTTCAGATTTCAAAAATAGGGTACTTCGCAAACGCAAATAAGAGGTCTATAAAATTGAAAAGTGATTTGTTTGCTACTCCAGAAAGGAAGCAGCGATGCAAATCATTCAAAAACACACAGTGGTTGGAAGGTATGAGGTAACGTTGATGAATGGTGAATTTTTTTTCTTAGATTTTCTTGTGAACATCTGAATGTTAAATGAATTAAGTAAAACGACCGTGACATGTATCACGGCATCATTTGATCCAGTCATGGAAGGGCAAATTGACGATTACTACTTATGGAAATGAAAGGATTTTGGTGCTAAGTTAGTGCTTATTCTATAGGGAACCTTTCTCCAGAAGACAGCAGAAATCTTTTTCGAAGACTAACAGTTCCATTACAAATTTAGCGTTCATGGTATCCTAATACGTTGGAAAAGTTTGGTGCCTTGTCTCTAAAAAACTCAGCTGCCGGGAATGATTGCAAAAGAAACTACTATATTTCAGTAGTGCAAATGTATTAGGTTGTCCCGAAAGTAATGTCGTTTCATT